ACAGTTTCAATAAAGCTCTTACAGTTGCATAGACCATAGGGCAAGAACCCTTACTCTAGGTGATTGCTATTGTCTATCATAAGTCTGTAATTCTGTGACTCTTAGGCATTTCATTTTTTCCCCCTCAAATAGCTTAAACTTTTAGGATCTAGTGAGAAAATGTATGTGAAAAGGCTCCAGAGAAGAATTCTGAGACTTGGGCATATCCATTTTGTACTTCCTCTAGCTTTGGATTTGCTATGAGATTTTGGCACGTTACACAGTTTCTCTGGGTTGTCTTTATAGTGTAATGTAGTGGGAAAATTTAGGACCTCAGACTCTGACAGATCTCATTCAAAATTCTGGTTTCTTCATGTACTCAGTCTGGAACCTTAAGGCAAAGTACCCTGTGGGAATTATTTCATCGTATATAAATCTATCTAATAGTCTGTGGTCGTAAGGCTTAAAAAAATTCACACTTAAAATCTACTTGCCCATTATTTACCTCAATCCCTTGCAACTAATCCCCTCTTAAGTCTAGGAAGGTACTTACAATGGTAACCCCTGTATCTGCTTTTCCTCATCTCCCTTCACATCTTTCCTCCCAGTCCTCTCTCATCTCATTCTAAGTCATCCTCAAGTCATCACTTTCTATTGTGAATCAAAGTGTGGTCTGAGATAGGTGTACTTGCAGCAACTCTGAATTTTTAGACAGGACTAATACATGTCAAAGTCATCTGAAGTCATTTGTAAGTGCTAGACACCCTTACATATAGAACTTCTGTTCCCAAAATTACATTCATATTAAAATACATTCACATTCCAAATTAAAAAAAAAGTTTTCTGTTGCTAAAAACGTGAAAATACTTTTATATTTTAAGTCTGAGCTTTGAGTTTGAAGATTCATTTTTTTCTGTTGCTTTGATATGTGTGTGCATATGAGTATATACAGATACATAATTTATGTATGTGTATATTATGCATATGTGTATATATATGTATAAAATATAAAAATATTTTCATGTTTTTAGCAACAGAAAACTTTTTTTTTAATTTGGAATGTGAATGTATTTTAATATGAATGTTTTATATATATATGTATATATATATATACACATATATATGGAGAGAGAGAGAGAGAGGGAGGGAGGGAGGGAGAGATTTGTAGCTAATTACTCGATGTATGTTTCAATTTGCAGATATCAAAATTGTAAACTTTTGGCTTCACATTTTTATTTTGTTCTTAAAGATAGTAATTGTTTTTTTTAGGTCTTAACCATTTCTGGTAGTCTCTACCATTTTATATGTATTTTATTGTTTGACCTACTGGGTAAAATGACTATGTTTTTCTTCCCAGCTATACTAAGGTATAATTGACAATTAAAATTATAAGAGATTGAAAGTGTACATCCTGATGATTTGAGGTAGTATGCATTGTGAAAGGATTCTTCCCATCTAGTTAATTAACACATCCATCACCTCACATACAATGGCTATGGTTTGAGTTCTAGTTTTATCATTTATTAGATGATCTTCCATGAATTCCTCTATTTCTCTGAGCTTTAATTTTCTCAATGGACTGCTGTTTGTCATTCAAGAGAACTTAGGTTAATTAGTGATTAAAATGAAGCTGAATATAATGATCTAATTATTTACTCTACTAACCTTTTTTCAAAATTAAAATTAGTGCATTCAACTTGAAAAGTCTAAGGAATGCCAAAAAAGGAAAAGAGTAGAGAATAAAGCCGGTGATTATTTGATTTATTATTTTGTGCCATTCCATATGTGTATGCTAACATGTCAGTTTACCTGTGTTTTAACAAGTTAATTTATTTTATACACTTGAAATTAATTTATAAATGCTGGTATTAGCCTTTAAATTTTTGTTTTAATTTTATTTATTTTATTATTTTTTGGTGTGTGGAGCAAAGGAGGAAGAAATGCATAGGCAGGTTTGACATTGACAGTGTCTTTTATTTATATGGTGATTAAAATGATAGCCCTGACCTTTGAGGTAAGATGGTGGTATAGATAAATGTTGTGCTTGCCTCCTCTCATGACCACATAAAATTACAAGTAAATTATAGAACAATCAACCTGGAGAACCATCTGAAGACTAGTTGAACAGAAGTTCTATAACTAAAGCTATAAAGAAGAAGCCACATCGAGACTGGTATGAGGGATGGAGATGTGAAACAGGCTGGTCCCTCACCTGGATGTGGCCATTGAAAATCAGGAAGGATATCTTGGCTGCAGAGGTCCCCCATGAAGAAGTGAGAGAACCCAGCCACAAACTGGGTTCCCTAGCCCTGACTGAGCACCAGTGCCAGGAAGACGAGTCCCCACAGCATATGGCTATGAAAAACAGTGGGGATTCCCACCATCCTGGTGGGATGGAAGGCTGTGAGAAACCCAGATGTACTCTTAATGGACCCACCCACAGACTCACTCACTCACAGGTGTTCACCCTGAGCTCTTGTAGAGGGATAGTGACTCAAGGGGTGTCAAAGACATATGGGGAGAAACAGTCGTATAGTCAGGATGAGGACTGGAGAGACAGTTGACATTTTCCCTATGTAGGGTCCTTCTCCAATCAGCTCGCAGGCAGGCAGCATCTTTCCTGTGTTGAACCCTCCTCTCATACCCATGGCCAAATCTGAATCTATATTGGCCTGGTGAACTCTGTTTCCTCTATGCTGGTGACTCCCTGCGACTCTGCCCCACCCAACTTGCCCAAGGCTGAAGGCACTTTTCTCAACCAGCAGCCAGCCTCACAGTGCACACCCAGGAGGCTCCTACAGCAACAAATAGCTGGCCTAAACTCGCCCAGCAGGAGAGACACTTTTGCAGTCAGCAGCCAGCCCCAGCACGAGCTACAGTCTTTTTGGACAACTCTCAGGGGTCCGTGGGCACCAGACAGGGGGTAGCCAGCCTTGCTGTGCTCTGAGTCTTTTGCTGAGTAGCTCTAGGCTCAGCACTGGTGCCAAACCAGAATCTACATTAACTTGGTGAACAAAACTGGCCCCACGCTTTTGACTCCCAGAGACCCCAACTCACCCAACTCACATACCACCCAAGGCTATTTCAGCAGCTGAGCCTTACAGGCAGGCATCTGCAGTCTTTGGGGTGCCCTGGGCTTTTTGTGGAGCTACACCAGGCCTAGTACTGGTGGCAGCCATCCTCAGTTTGTAGTGTGGCCTCTCGCACATGCCTCCAGGTCAAGCACATGAAGCAACCCACCATGGATTGCTTTGTAGTTCCATGTGTCTGTTTTTATGCTAGAATCAATGGAACAGAGGAGGCAAGAATATACAGTGGGATAAAGACAGTCTATTCAATAAATAGTGTTGGGAAAACTGCACAGATACATGCAAAAAAACCAAAACAAAACAAACAAAAAACAAAACAAAATTGGACCACCTTCCTTACATACATGTATACAACAATAGACTCAAAATTGATTAAAGACTTAAATGGAAGACCTGAAATTCTAAAACTCCTAGAAGAAATCATAGGCAATATACTCTCAGACATTGCCGTTAGTAATATTTTTTTGTGATATATCACCTCAGGCAAGGGAAACAAAATAAAAAATAAACAAATGGAACTACATCAGCTAAAAAGTTTTTGCTCAGCAAAGGAAACCATCAACAAAATGAAAAGACAATTTATTGAATGTGAGAAGTTTTTTTCCAATGATACATCCTATAAAGGGTTAATATCCAAAATTTATAAAGTACTCATGCAACTTAATATAAAAAAAACTAACAATCCAATTTAAAAATGGGCAGAGGACCTGAATAGACATTTCTCTAAATAGTGCATACAGATAGCCAGCACACATATGAAAAGACCCTCAACATCACTAATCATCAGAGAAATGCAAATTAAAACCACAATGAGATATCACCTCACACCTGTCAGAATGGCTGTCATCAATGAATCAATGAGTGTTAGTGGGGATGCAGAGAAAATTGAACCCTCAAGCACTGTTGGTGGGATTGCAAATTGGTGTAGCCACTATGGAAAACAGTTTGGAAGTTCCTCAAAAAATTAACAACAGAACAGCCTTATGACCCAGCAGTTCCACTTCTGGGTATTTATCTGATGAAATCCAAAACATTAATTTGTAAAGATTTATGCACCCCTTTGTTCACTGAAGTACTATTTACCATATAAATGTATTACCACTATGCTGTACACCTGAAACTAATATCAAATAATATTAAATGTCAACTGTACCCGAAAAAAATAAATTATTTAAAATCTAAATAAAATAAAATAAAAAAGTGATAGGGCTAAAGGCAGAATACAGAGGTATCCTTTGTCAGTTACTTTAAAAAATTATGCCAAATGCCCTTAATTAGAAAAACAATAGAGGCAAATGAAAATGCAGGAATTTTAAAAGAACATGTGCACATTTATTATCACTCTGTACTCTAAATATACTTTCTTTTGATTAGTTTTAATGAAATCATTACTTATGTATAGCCAGCTGGAAATCATAACTTATTGTATAATGTGAAGAAACAAATTTTTTTTCTTGAGTTTGAATCAGAAATATTAAGAGATATCTTTCAACTTAAACCAGGAAATGAAAGAGAGTAGAGTAAAGTAGACCAAACTATTTTCTCCAACATCAGAAGCTACAATGCCATTTTATAGTGTGTGAAACTAGAGAACTTAAGCTTAGGATAAAAACAACAGTAACAAAACTATTGTGTCCCTTGAGTTCAATTACAACAGAAAAAACTAGCAATTAGTGAATCATCAATTATCATCTATTCTAGCCATAGTTCTGAGTTTATGTTACTATCAAGTTGAATCTTTTATAATCATGATGTCTGTACAAACATAGCCATGAAGCATAACAGTTAGATGAGTAACTATAGACTGTGTAGTAAAACAATTTTGCAGGAAAATAGTCCTTGTTCTTCCCTTTTGTGGCCATTGCTGAAGCACCAGCAGCTTCAGTTGATAGGCCGATGAGTTCAAGCAGGTTTTGATGGAGTTAAACACATGACAGCCTCTCCAAAATGAAGTTCAACCCCTTTGTGACTTCTGACCGGAGCAAGAACCGTAAAAGACATTTCAACACACCTTCCCACGTTCGCAGGAAGATTATGTCTTCTCCTCTTTCCAAAGAGCTGAGACAGAAGTACAATGTTCGATCCATGCCCATCCGAAAGGATGATGAAGTTCAGGTTGTCCAAGGACACTACAAAGGGCAGCAAATTGGCAAAGTAGTCCAGGTTTGCAGGAAGAAATACGTCATCTACATTGAACGAGTGCAGCGGGAAAAGGCTAACGGCACAACAGTTCATGTGGGCATTCACCCCAGCAAGGTGGTTATCACTAGACTAAAGCTGGACAAAGGCCGCAAAAAGATCCTTGAACGGAAAGCCAAATCTCGCCAAGTAGGAAAGGAAAAGGGCAAATATAAGGAAGAAACAATTGAGAAGATGCAGGAATAAAGTAATTTTATATACAACAGTTTTCATTAAAAACTGTTAAAATGAAAAAAAAAGTCCTTGTTTATTTACAAATAATGGAGTATAGTAACAAGAAATAAATGTGTTACTTATGATAGAGATCTGAGCAGAATCAAATTTAATTTTACTTGGAACATTTGCTTAATTACCTAGCTAGCCATGACTCTTATTTTAATTAGTAAAGTCAATGGTTTAAGTAGTAAACTTTCTGTATCCATTGGTTTACTTATAAGCAAGCACTGGATAAGGATCTGTTACAACATAGGCTCTCAAACAAATTTTTGGTCCAAAAATATTTCTTCTCTATGCAATACTATTTTTCTATAGACTCCTTTTTAATCAAGACTTGACAAAAAGGAAAATGGAATTTTATTCCATATTTCTCCTTTAAAATCAAAGATAGATATTTTCTTAGTATTTAGTAATTATACTGAGGCTTGGAATTCTGCTTTCTAAGCAGTCCCCAAGACTGCTTCTTTTTATTTGAAGTTACAGATGCTTTAACCGTCCAACTGCAGTTATTAATGATACAGCAATGAACTTGGAAAGAATAGAGAATCAGAGAATCTCAAGACCCACAACCCTAGCCCGGCACCTTCTTTTCTAACCTTGATTACATGAGAGTCTTCTAACTGGCCTCCCTACCTTCACCTTGTTTATCTCATCAGGTTTGTACTCTGAGACCAGAAGTTTCTTAAACATTGATCTGCTTGTGATGCTTTTCTGGTTTATCTCTTTACTGCTTCCTAGATAAAAACCAAATTACCAAGCAAGGCATGCTAGATGCTCCATTATCTGTTTCCTTCCTCCTCCTCCAAGGATTAGCTTTTCTTCTTCATTGACTTGAATGTGTGCTCTAGTTACAAAAACCCTAAACATCTTTTCTTATGACTAAGTAATATTCCATTGTATGTATGTACCACACGTTTACCCAATCATCCATCGAAGGACACTTTGGTTGTTCCCATGTCTTGGCCACCGTGAATAATGCTGCAATAAACATAGGGGTAGTTATAACTTTATGGATAAGTGTTTTCAGATTTTTGTGGGTAGATATCCAGAAGAGGGCTTGTTGGGTTGTATGGTAATTCTATTCTTAATTTTTTGAGGATATTCCATATTGTTTTCCATAACTGCTGTACCAGTTTACATGCCATTGGAATAGCATGAATGGATCTTGAGATGATTATGCTAAGCAAAATAAGTCAGACAGAAACAGTCAAGAGCCATATGATTTCACTCATATGTGGGATATAAAACTGAAAGCAACAAACAAACAAGACAAACAAACAAAAACTCATAGACATAGACAACAGTTTAGTGGTTACCAGATGGGAAGGGCAAGGAGGGTGATAGAAGAGGGTAAATGAAGTCAAATATATGGTGATGGAAGGAGAACTGACTGTGGGTGGTGAACACACAATGAAATATACAGATGATGTATTAATAGAATTGTATGCTTGAAACCTATAATATATAATTTTACTAACCAATATCACCTCCACAAATTTAACTAAAAATTTAAAAATTATATTAAAAAAACCTAAACATGAAATAACAGCAGGACAACAATAACAGTAACAAAACCCACTCCCATTGGTTGATTAGCAACAGTGTGATCAATCACTTGATTTTGAGTTTCCATTTATTTGTCTACTCAAAAAATACTTTCTAAATGCCTACCATATAGTACTTGGTATTGTAATTCTCAGAGAAACTCATTGGCAGGCTAAGAACAATAATTATACAGATCAAGCAACAACAAACACATGCCCTGCCCTCCTGGTGTGGTAGTCTAGTGCTGGGCGGGGCGGAGAGGGTGTGTGCACTTTATCACTCAAGCAAATGTAAGATTTCATTTTTTTGTTGAGTGCTAAAAAATAAAGGGGGCAAGTCACGGGAGATTCTATGATAGGGGCATGTGACCTAATCAGGAAGGGTGGGGAAGGTACATTTGATACTCAAGTTGAAGAATGACTCGAAATTATATAGGCAAAGTGAGAGATAGAGGCGTGCTAGGTAGAGGTAATATGCAAAATACAAAGAGTAGGAGGGGGCATAGATAACTGTGTACTGCAAGAAAGCCAGAGTAGCTGGAGCACTGGGGAAAGGTGAATCATGGAAGGACTTTAGTGAGAGAGTTCAAGGACAGCCATCCAAGGCCGTTTAAACCCATCATTAGCAATTTGTTTTGGAGGGCCATGGGACATCATTTGTGACTTTTAAGGGGAAGTGTGACTTTATCTGGTGTTTATTTTGAAAAGGCCCCTCAGCCTGCATGGTGAAGCACAGGTTAGAGGTAGGGGTCCAATTGATTGCAAGGAGGGGGATTCGAGATAGTCTCTAGAATCCTAAAGAGAGGGCTGTCAGCTTATACTTACTATAGTTTGAAAATGGTGGGTGTAAAAATAAATAGATATATTTCTGAAATAAAATATATTATCTCATTTAAGCCTCACAACAATGGTATGAGGTAGACCTTATAAAGCCCACTTCACATATCGATAAATTGAGGCTCAGAGGAGTTATACACATTCAATCAGTCCCTTAGAAACACGTGACACAGTCAGGCCACAGAAACCAGGTCCCTGAGTTCTAAATCATACCCTCTTTCAACTATGCTGCTCCTTTTTTTTTTTTTTTCATATTCTGGCATACTGTTCATCTCACATTACTCTAATGTTTTATTTACTGTTTTTTCAGCTTGCAGTACCCTTCCATGTAGTGAATCCCTGGATTTTTTTCTCCAACCACCGCCGCTTCACGCTCCCAGTCTCTGTTAATGTCCGTCCTCCATGATTTCGTGACTTCCTTGTGCTTCCCTGCTGTTCCCTTATTTCTTCCTCTACTAGATTATAAATTTCTAAACACAGGGCATAGGGGTCTTATTTTTATAGTCTCGATGCCTAGCAAGATGCCAAGTGTAAAGTAGGTGAGCACAAAATTTAAACTAAAGGAATGCTCATGGCAATTGTCTACATCAAACCCTCAAACACCACTTGGATTCTCTGTACAGTATTCCTGGCAAATGGTCACTGAAGACATCGGCCGTTACCCTTGCTCATACATTACTGACCACCTTCTAAGTGCCAGGCACAAAACTAAACACTTAGGTTGTTATCATCATATTTAATACTCACAAAGCCTGTCTAAAATAGATACTATCATGTGCATATTACAGATGAGGAAACTTACATTATATAAGGTCGGCAGCTCCAGAATTCAAGCTTAAATCACTCTGAATTCAAAGATCTTTGACCTAGATTACAATGCACGCATCCCTAGTACACCCGTTTGGTTTTTTTTAACCTGTCCAGTGCAAGATGGGAAATAACATCTTGACTTTCCTCTGATCCTAGCCTCACAAATTACTTATCTTCTCCTAATCACCTGATGGAAATAGGTGGTGCTTTCTGACCCCATTCATTTCTGGCGTTTCCAACTCCTTCCACTTAAGGAATGTATAACCTGCTTTTAGTACACAATGACATGCATTCAACTTCTGGTGAAATGATGAGGAATTTTTCAACAAGCTCTGGCAACAACTGTTTCAAATCTATTTTATAAATACATTTAAAAATATAAAACATAGTAAAATATTTTTTAAAAAAGCAGTTATGGAATCTTACTTGTCAGCATAAATCTAAAGATAGAGTTCACCAGTGTAAGAGTTTTGTTAAACTTTGGCCCTGATCCCAGCACATGAAATCCTGTAGCCATAGAAAGTGGCAGTGTCCTAAGCCCAGAAGCAGTCTGGGCTGCCAGAGTGTTTTCCAGTTTCAGAGATGGAATCGTTGAATTCTCAAGTGCATGTAATCCACTTATTATCTCTCTGGGCTTCAAGCTGTCTGATTGGACTGAGGAACCAAGCAGAGCTTTGTCTGAAAGACAATATCTTTGTACAGAAAGGAATAGGCTTCTAGTCGCAAAAACACGAATATTTCACCCAATTGTATGTGGGATCAAAGAATTGTCGAGTTGTTATGGATCTAACATTCATGTAACCAACATTGTTTTCTCACCAACCTTACAAATGATGTCCTTGGCTCTATAGAAAAGAAAACTTAGAAAGAGAAGCAAATCACCCAAGTCACAAAGCTGGATTTCAACCTTAGGACTAAATGATCCCAGAGTCTAAGCACCTAAACATTAAGACCTACATCTTAGAACTGCTTTATTTTTCCTTTTGGTTTCAGGTTAAATATCCCTAAGTGCTGTAAGCTTTCCTTGCATGATGTCCTCACCATGAGATCCCCAATCATGGTTACTAAGGAGGAAAAAAAGAAAAGCCCTCTAACCTAAGTGCAAGAGATCTTTAATAGAGACAATGAAAGTAGACATGTAAAATAATTTGAAAAATTCAATTTTATTTATATTGCAAAATGTAAATGTCAATATTAGAGACTTTTTTGGGGCTTATTGCATTTCAAATCTACCTCTGATAAAATAATACATCAAAATATTACAAACCATATTTTCTTTCTGGGTGAGGTGAGGAATCTACCTTAAAATTTTCTCTTGGAATTTAGCATAGAGGGTAATAAGAGATCATTTGGTCTAGCCTCTAGTATTTAAGAGAAAGTTGTGGTATATATTAGTTCCTAGAAATAATAGTTTTACAACCTATTAATTTGCCAGGACCTCTGCTACCTTCTATCTTTCTAATTGTATTCCTCTAATACCCTCAACTCCAATAATTCTTTGATTCCATGAGGAGCAAAACTCATTGACTTTACTTATTTTTTAATCTCCATTATCCTTCTCAAGACCACATTACAATTTCATTCAGCCTATATTTCAAGTTCCACTTTATAATCACTCATTTCTGTACATCATTTCTGCCACCACACTTCACTGGCACAATTCCAACCTTGGCTACTCCTACTTTTCCTTATTAGCCCCTTCACTTGAGCTTCTGAACAGGCTGGAGAAAATACACAATGATACTGACTGGTTTTCACTTCAATTTAGTATCATAAACCTTACCTGGCCCCAATTTACTGCCTGTCAATCC